AGTGTATTCTCTCCACTCTCTGTGTATTCAACTGGTAAAGGTTCAAGTGAATGTAACGAAACCAAATTCAGCATTTAAACGTTCTCGGTGGAAGACACAACCATATTACAATCGATATTAACAAGGACTTGGGCAACGAGAATCAGAATGATGTTCAACGGTGTCATATTCTAATCATCATCAGGTAATCACCAAGATTTTAAATATGCGCACCTGATACAAGACGCAGTGACTTCTCAGAGACCTTATACAAGACGCAGTGACTTCTCAGAGACCTTATACAAGACGCAGTGACTTCTCAGAGACCTTATACAAGACGCAGTGACTTCTCAGAGACCTTATACAAGACGCAGTGACTTCTCAGAGACCTTATACAAGACGCAGTGACTTCTCAGAGACCTTATACAAGACGCAGTGACTTCTCAGAGACCTTATACAAGACGCAGTGACTTCTCAGAGACCTGATACAAGACGCAGTGACTTCTCAGAGACCTGATACAAGACGCAGTGACTTCTCAGAGACCTGATACAAGACGCAGTGACTTCTCAGAGACTGATACAAGACGCAGTGACTTCTCAGAGACCTGATACAAGACGCAGTGACTTCTCAGAGACCTGATACAAGACGCAGTGACTTCTCAGAGACCTGATACAAGACGCAGTGACTTCTCAGAGACCTGATACAAGACGCAGTGACTTCTCAGAGACCTGATACAAGACGCAGTGACTTCTCAGAGACCTGATACAAGACGCAGTGACTTCTCAGAGACCTGATACAAGACGCAGTGACTTCTCAGAGACCTGATACAAGACGCAGTGACTTCTCAGAGACCTGATACAAGACGCAGTGACTTCTCAGAGACCTGATACAAGACGCAGTGACTTCTCAGAGACCTGATACAAGACGCAGTGACTTCTCAGAGACCTGATACAAGACGCAGTGACTCAGAGACCTGATACAAGACGCAGTGACTTCTCAGAGACCTGATACAAGACGCAGTGACTTCTCAGAGACCTGATACAAGACGCAGTGACTTCTCAGAGACCTGATACAAGACGCAGTGACTTCTCAGAGACCTGATACAAGACGCAGTGACTTCTCAGAGACCTGATACAAGACGCAGTGACTTCTCAGAGACCTGATACAAGACGCAGTGACTTCTCAGAGACCTGATACAAGACGCAGTGACTTCTCAGAGACCTGATACAGACGCAGTGACTTCTCAGAGACCTGATACAAGACGCAGTGACTTCTCAGAGACCTGATACAAGACGCAGTGACTTCTCAGAGACCTGATACAAGACGCAGTGACTTCTCAGAGACCTGATACAAGACGCAGTGACTTCTCAGAGACCTGATACAAGACGCAGTGACTTCTCAGAGACCTGATACAAGACGCAGTGACTTCTCAGAGACCTGATACAAGACGCAGTGACTTCTCAGAGACCTGATACAAGACGCAGTGACTTCTCAGAGACCTGATACAAGACGCAGTGACTTCTCAGAGACCTGATACAAGACGCAGTGACTTCTCAGAGACCTGATACAAGACGCAGTGACTTCTCAGAGACCTGATACAAGACGCAGTGACTTCTCAGAGACCTGATACAAGACGCAGTGACTTCTCAGAGACCTGATACAAGACGCAGTGACTTCTCAGAGACCTGATACAAGACGCAGTGACTTCTCAGAGACCTGATACAAGACGCAGTGACTTCTCAGAGACCTGATACAAGACGCAGTGACTTCTCAGAGACCTGATACAAGACGCAGTGACTTCTCAGAGACCTGATACAAGACGCAGTGACTTCTCAGAGACCTGATACAAGACGCAGTGACTTCTCAGAGACCTGATACAAGACGCAGTGACTTCTCAGAGACCTGATACAAGACGCAGTGACTTCTCAGAGACCTGATACAAGACGCAGTGACTTCTCAGAGACCTGATACAAGACGCAGTGACTTCTCAGAGACCTGATACAAGACGCAGTGACTTCTCAGAGACCTGATACAAGACGCAGTGACTTCTCAGAGACCTGATACAAGACGCAGTGACTTCTCAGAGACCTGATACAAGACGCAGTGACTTCTCAGAGACCTGATACAAGACGCAGTGACTTCTCAGAGACCTGATACAAGACGCAGTGACTTCTCAGAGACCTGATACAAGACGCAGTGACTTCTCAGAGACCTGATACAAGACGCAGTGACTTCTCAGAGACCTGATACAAGACGCAGTGACTTCTCAGAGACCTGATACAAGACGCAGTGACTTCTCAGAGACCTGATACAAGACGCAGTGACTTCTCAGAGACCTGATACAAGACGCAGTGACTTCTCAGAGACCTGATACAAGACGCAGTGACTTCTCAGAGACCTGATACAAGACGCAGTGACTTCTCAGAGACCTGATACAAGACGCAGTGACTTCTCAGAGACCTGATACAAGACGCAGTGACTTCTCAGAGACCTGATACAAGACGCAGTGACTTCTCAGAGACCTGATACAAGACGCAGTGACTTCTCAGAGACCTGATACAAGACGCAGTGACTTCTCAGAGACCTGATACAAGACGCAGTGACTTCTCAGAGACCTGATACAAGACGCAGTGACTTCTCAGAGACCTGATACAAGACGCAGTGACTTCTCAGAGACCTGATACAAGACGCAGTGACTTCTCAGAGACCTGATACAAGACGCAGTGACTTCTCAGAGACCCTGATACAAGACGCAGTGACTTCTCAGAGACCTGATACAAGACGCAGTGACTTCTCAGAGACCTGATACAAGACGCAGTGACTTCTCAGAGACCTGATACAAGACGCAGTGACTTCTCAGAGACCTGATACAAGACGCAGTGACTTCTCAGAGACCTGATACAAGACGCAGTGACTTCTCAGAGACCTGATACAAGACGCAGTGACTTCTCAGAGACCTGATACAAGACGCAGTGACTTCTCAGAGACCTGATACAAGACGCAGTGACTTCTCAGAGACCTGATACAAGACGCAGTGACTTCTCAGAGACCTGATACAAGACGCAGTGACTTCTCAGAGACCTGATACAAGACGCAGTGACTTCTCAGAGACCTGATACAAGACGCAGTGACTTCTCAGAGACCTGATACAAGACGCAGTGACTTCTCAGAGACCTGATACAAGACGCAGTGACTTCTCAGAGACCTGATACAAGACGCAGTGACTTCTCAGAGACCTGATACAAGACGCAGTGACTTCTCAGAGACCTGATACAAGACGCAGTGACTTCTCAGAGACCTGATACAAGACGCAGTGACTTCTCAGAGACCTGATACAAGACGCAGTGACTTCTCAGAGACCTGATACAAGACGCAGTGACTTCTCAGAGACCTGATACAAGACGCAGTGACTTCTCAGAGACCTGATACAAGACGCAGTGACTTCTCAGAGACCTGATACAAGACGCAGTGACTTCTCAGAGACCTGATACAAGACGCAGTGACTTCTCAGAGACCTGATACAAGACGCAGTGACTTCTCAGAGACCTGATACAAGACGCAGTGACTTCTCAGAGACCTGATACAAGACGCAGTGACTTCTCAGAGACCTGATACAAGACGCAGTGACTTCTCAGAGACCTGATACAAGACGCAGTGACTTCTCAGAGACCTGATACAAGACGCAGTGACTTCTCAGAGACCTGATACAAGACGCAGTGACTTCTCAGAGACCTGATACAAGACGCAGTGACTTTTCAGAGACCTGATACAAGACGCAGTGACTCTCAGAGACCTGATACAAGACGCAGTGACTTCTCAGAGACTGATACAAGACGCAGTGACTTCTCAGAGACCTGATACAAGACGCAGTGACTTCTCAGAGACCTGATACAAGACGCAGTGACTTCTCAGAGAACGGATTGTCTAAGTAAAAGATATTGGAATAATAAAGTGGTCATCAGAGCTGAAAGATTAGAGGTGGTAGGAGAAGAAAATATCAGTGTTCAGTGAGGATCCACAAGGTCTTCTCTGAGTACTCTTTATTTTCTTCTCCGAGGCTATGGGGTCCCTACAATTACACCAGAGGTGGTACCCCTTTTAGATTAATATATATATATATATATATATTATATATATATATATATATATATATATATATATATATATATATATATATATATATATATATATATATTAGCCGAAAATTTGCTCCATAAATGAACAACCGTGTCCAAACCAGTATTTACCCTGGTCTTTTCCTCGAGTCTAAACTTGTCCAATTTAAATTAAATGCTCCATGTTATATCTTGCGTTCAATCTTTAATACCTTAATAATACCCACTCTTTTATACCTTTCAGAGTTAAATACGCTTACATTTCGTGCGCAATTAACATTACAAAGCTGCGCTTCGCTCTGCAATTTTCTGTTCAAGGTCAGCCCCACAGTCTTTGATCATCTCAACTTTCTCACGTTGCGTGTAATTTCATTGAAAA